GGAGGGTGACAATGTGGTGGTGAAGATGTTTCCTAAGTGCTTTCTAAAGGAAAAACAGCACTAAATAGCACTATACTGTACATCTTCTTCCCTTCTTCAGACTATTTTACTGCTTACAAAAAAACATTTCTTTTTTTATCTGCAAATTGTTCAATATCTTTCTCTTCTCTCCCAAGACCCTTAGATTTGTATTGATACTATAATTACACAATGCCTTTGGCTATTAGGTGATTAGTGCACAGGCAGTCAACAAAACACAAAACAGTAAAAATAAAGGAAAGCCATTCTTCACTTTGTTTCCAAATTTCTGTTCAACTTGTAGTGACAACAGTATATCCTAGTGTAAATCATACATTGTCATACAGGCAGTCTTGTTAATCAATTTGAACTGATTGCTGTTATACTTTTAACTGTACTTTATTCATTGATGCAGCTCCAGTTTTATGCCATTCAGTGGGAACAATATATAGCTCATTTTCTTATATAAATAGTTTTGGTGTGATGAACAGAACTTCTTAATTACCATAGCAATTCATGGTTATTTCCTTCTGGAAACAGAAGGTAATTGCTAAATGCTGTGTTAATGCATGTGCAATTAAAAATTAAATGCTTGTGTTTACAAATCAGTCACTGTAAAGTCTTATCACTGATGTACAGATAAAGCTCTGGATTAAACTGAAATACTTTTTATATGGCTAATAGAGAATGTGATGAACCTTTTATGAATGTGTGTTAAAACAGATCATGCAAACTGCAATAATGATATCTCAGGAGCCCAATTAGTTTCATCATTAAATAGACCAATTTCCATACTGATTGATGATAGTGTCTGTTTATCTTTCAGGTACTGTGTATGACAGGTTAAGAATGTTCTTTGTGCATTCTCTGATGCAGCTTGTGATAAGAAGGAAAATAAAAATTATAAATGAGGCTGACTGGAGCTGTGTGGTGCTTCCTGCAAAGTTTTGTTTCTTCAGTTTTTCTGTCCATCAGCAAGTAATGTTTCCAGAATTACTGGTCTGAAGCACTTTCCCAAAGGCCACTCTGCCTCTGCATTGTTTCTGCATCTTTGGGCCCAATCTGTTACGTATAATTGTATAGGTCACTAACAGAATTTTCGAAGGAGAAAGGAGAATTTAATTCCAGCAGTTCATATTCTGCTACAAGAAATTCAAAATGAAATGTCTGACTTGCTAAGCAAACTGGATTACCAAGCTGTGTAGCTATTAATCAGTTTGGAAATCTGAATGTCAGAAAATAAGACAATTTCAGATAAAAGGACAAAATATCATAGAGAAAAAAGAAAGCTATATTAAAAGCCACCCTATTAAGCCACTTATTTGAGTAACTAAAAATAAGTAGTATGTTTCTGTGCTTTTATATATAGCAAACATACTGTTGAAAAACATAGAATGAAATCCAACATCTTTCTTGATTTTAGTTTTTCTGAAATTGACCTAAACATACACATTTTGCTGATATTAGAAATTAATATTAACCTAATTCTTTAGATTAAACTCAATATAAATGCGTATTTTCCCCGTGTCATCTGGCAGTATTTATTTGTTCCACCTAGTGCGTGAGTCAGCAAATACTGCTGGGTTAAAAATACAGGTTGTGTGCTTGCCCTTAATAGTGACTTGAAAAGAGTTGTTTTATAAAATGATGAAGTATCTTTACTTCTCTATTTTCCTTTCTTGTTTATTTGAAAGAGAAAAGTCTGTAGTCTTAACTGCTGGGATCTGCTCTACACAGCTAAAGAAAGTTGCATATGCTTCAGAAACTGGAACACTTATGCATACCATAGTTGGGGGGGTGGGGGAACAAACACCACAAGTATGTGACTCTGCATACAATGAAGACTGTAGGCATGCAAAATCTGCAAACACAGTACCTTCTAGATGAACATTCTGGGAATTATGCAAGTGGCCTCCTACTAAAAGCAACCCAGAACATCAGCTGATCCATACACATATTTTGGTCGTATTTATCTCAACTTGCAAGTGTTACAAAATCTCTTTCCTGAGAAGATGTTACATGAAAAGGGGTTTCAAGTCTGTTGTTGAGGGGACTCTGTATCTGATCTAATAGGTGAGACCTGAAACCTTCAAAGAGACAGAAAAAAAAAAGTTAATAGTTTTCACATTAGTAGAAACTAAGCAATGATGAAAGACAGTTTTACCAGACTCTAGGAAAGAGGTACTGACTACTACTCTATTTATCTATTTATTTTTAAGTGATTGTCAGTTGACGGGGAGAAGTTTACATCTAAGCGGGTACAGCTCAGGCAGTTTTGGTATTCAGTCAGAGAACTAACTTCTCTAGAAATTTTGCATCATGTAGTTACCTCCTGAAGAAAAGCTTGAAATTTTTACAAGTTATAAGAAGAATGCTATGTGATTAGTTCATAGGAATGAATTTTGCTATTCGGGGATACAAATGTAAGGACAGTCAATCATACCAGAAACCACCTACATATGCCCTAGAAATATACTGATTAAATTTAGTAGGGTACTGAGATATGGATTTCTGTGTTCCTCATAGATTAGCATGGATTTTATTTTTTTGGTTTGCTGATGTTTCAGGTCAGCAATCTGTATTAACTAATATTTACCAATAAATTTTAAGATGATGTCAAGATGGTGATGAGTTTTATAAAGCTCTCTACACACTTTGATTCCCTTAAATTCAGTGGAAGCTTTCTGGTTGTGTAAAGTACCAACAGAGTTAATCCAGTGTTTGGGAGTTTTTAAAAATATTTTCCTAGAAAACTAATGCTGATTTTAGATCAAGCCATGAAAAAAAAAAGGAAACCATTTCCAGTGCATTATTGCCCAGTACATGTGTTTACAGGAAAAGTGACCTGAACAAAAGCCAAAATAAGCTTCTTAGAAAAATCAGTGGAACTGGCTTTAAACAAGCAAATTATGAACAAAGTAATGACTGACTGAAGAACTGTTGAAGTAAGAAAGTGCATGATATTTAAAGTGGTTTCACTGGTTTTGTCAGACTCCTCAGGGGCTGAAGAGAAACCACTTGAAAAGTGGTTCACTTACATCTTGACAAATTCCAGCACACAATATTCTTAAATATTCATCTCTTCAGTATTAATGCCAATTTTCTTTTCTAAATGCAACTTATTTTTTCCTTACAGAAGTAAATAAATAAAAACATCTGTAGATGTGTCACATCCTGTACATTTTGTGTTTTTAATTAGTAATGTGAATAGTGTAACAACATTGGCAGGCATGATACTGCATGGCATGCCTATCAAGTGTTGGCTTGATATTTCTTTAATTGATTCATCATTCATGAGTCAATGTGTGTAGGTTCTTAGGTCCCTTCCATCTCCTCCCCTTCTCCTCCCCCCAATAACTTAGTAATAGTTTTTATTTAGTTCAATAAATCTGGAAGATATTGTTTATTCACAGGAATTAGTGCATGTAGCTTGCGCTGCTGTATCATAGGTACTTGGAGCAAATTCTGGTTTCACTCTTCATTGTTTGTTTGCAGTTTCTAAGGAAAGAAGTATTATCTGTAACATTAGTCTCAATGGATCTTTTGTTCTTGGCTTTCCTCATGAAAATTAGTAGCAAAATAACCATTCAAAATAATTTTGGGGTTTTATTCATTAACCTGAGAATATTTTTCAGTAGAAACACTTTTCAGATTAATTATAAAATTAGTAGGTAGGTGTTTATTTTCAGTTGTCTTTGTATGTCTGTAAGAATAACAGACTGTTGTAACACAGATTTGCTGTGGTGCTCACATAAGTTTTGTGTATTGAACTAGTTTTATAGTTTCATCAGCATAATGCATTTAACTATTGCATATTTGTTTTTAATTCTGTGAAAAAAGGGATCTGGGTGAATGTAACATTCAGGGTCCTAGTTCAGAAAACTAGCAGTGACAGTGTGCCTCCTGGTTAATACTCTGTGTATTGGCCTTTTGACTCTCACAGTGCCTTTGTATATGTCCAGATTATTGATTCCCTGTGAGGTAGATTGTTTTAAAGCTTTTGGAGTTCTAATGAAAGCTACCAAAGAACTCTCATACTACCATATTGTGGAAAGTTTAATTTTTACTAGTCCTTTTGCTGAAAAGAATAAAGGATAGGACATGATTTTTTGTTATGCATGGGTTCTAATACATATACCAGTTCATGCTGATGATGTGCAACTTTACATAAGGAGTTTTCAGTTTGTACTGCTGTATGTGTTGTTAACATTCATTGTCAGTTCCTTCAAGAAAGAGAATAAGCCATTTCTTGGGGCTCCTACACTGTATGCCAGAGAAGAATCAGATAAATTATTAAGCAGATGTGGATGATAAGGCTAAGGGTTTAGATGATACCGAGTCTTACTTTGGCTTTAAATATGAAGGTTTCAATTTAATTCAGTATGCTGTGACATGGAGCATAACCACTGTTTCACATGGAGAAGGGATGAAGATAGATCAAAGCAGCATAAGATGACTGTAGCAATAGTGTTTGGGTGGAATTGTAAATGAAAGATGATTATTATGATTATAGTACAGAAGAAAATGGTGCACTCCTACAGAATTGTCCTGCAGAGTTTTTCATTTATTCTACAGGGACATAGTGTGACTGTTTCAAAGAAAGTTACTCTATATAAAGAGTGTTTGGAAGAAGCTGTGCACTTGTAATCTGTGTCATGGATATAATAGAGTAAGCTCCTGAAATGGTGTAAGAGCACGACACTATAAAAAACAAACAAACAAACAAACAAAAAAACTGTTTCCTTATATTTCCCAAGTACTACGTTGCAATACTGTCTTTTTTATGACACAATTTGATTGAAAAAACAGTAACTTATCCCCGTATCGATAACTGAACTAGATGACAAACATGACAAACTGGCAGATAACACATTAACTCAAGAACATTATAAATGAAAATATATTATTTACATTTATACTTTGTGTGTAATATAAAGTATATCTGCATTTGTGTATTTTAACAGCTTATTTTGATATTGCAGGAAACAGCATACTCCATTCAGCAGCAGACAGTGTGACAAGTGCAGTGCAGAAGGCAAGTCAAGCTTTGAATGAGCGTGGTGAAAGGCTAGGTCGAGCAGAAGAAAAGACAGAAGAGCTGAAAAACAGTGCTCAGCAGTTTGCAGAAACTGCACACAAGGTAGGACTTTGGGACAAGGCTCTCACATTCCAAGTCACACATTCCTTTCTCATGAGGAAGCTCTAGAAAGAAATACAGTCAGTCACTGTTTAGAAACAGCATACACTTTTCCTTGTAATTGTTCCTCATTTGGCTGATTTCTGATTTATAAATTCTGTGAATGGATCTGAGGTTTACTGCATTTCTACTTGGATTGAAATGAAACTACCTGTCCTAACCTTTCTGAAGCATATTTCAAATCCATCTTTCCACTCCTTTTATAAGAGGTTGTATATAGGAACAATTGGTACCTTCAGGCTGTTTGTTTTAGTTTGCTGTGGGTTTTTTTGGTACAAAAAATATTCCATATTAGGATCCAATTTTGCAATTCTACTGTCTGTTCTGTGATTAAGTGGAGAGCAGGGAGTAACAAATACTGTCAAAGAGCATTCTGGATGCTCTTCCAGAATTCTGTTATTAAGTAAGAATTTCTTCATGCTTCCTTCTAACACTGAGATGGGAGAAGATAGATCTACCTTCTGATTTAAGGAAACAGCTACACATTCCTGCAAGAATGATTGCTTTACAATCAGAAATGCTGATAATGCTGCTCACACAAAATAGGAACTAACTTCTTCAGAGCATAGATTCTTTAATCTATTAGTTTCTGATCCCAGTCTCTAATCTGGCAATTTCTTTTTTTTTTTTTTTTTTTATTTTTTAGCTTTAGATAGGCAAGCAGTTCATTGCTACATTAGTGTGACAAAAATATTAATGAGCTGGTGGTCAAGAAACATTTCACTGAGGCTTCAGACATTCTTTAGTCATATATTGAATGTCTGCCTGATGTCACAGTGGAGGAAGTAGGGGAAAAAAGTAATACAGAAGAGCCAAATCTGAAGAGCAGCTAGACACACCTATTGTGTCTAGACATACCTTTTTACATTGATGTGAATACCCACCCCTTTTTTATGTACATTTTAAGATATCTTGGTTTTACTACTAGTAAAAATTCCAGTCAATCTGCTTGTTGGCAGTCTTATTTTTGTTTTATTTTACTTTATTGTATTTCATTTATATACCAAGTTTTGAGGATATTTATTTTCAGTATGACTCAAACTGATTAAGTGCTATGTTGATAAATGATAACAAAACCATGACACCCTTTTATGTAAGGATATAAGAATATCTTAGGTTGCTTAGAATATCCTTAAGTGTAAATTTAACATTACAGTGATTAAAAAGTCATCTGTTAAAAGGCCATGGCAAAAACAATAGGAAAAAAAATGAGGATCATTTTTCAAAAGGAATCAGTACTTTTGCAGTAATTATTATCAATAACTGCATTTCAGATACATACTTTTCAATAATTTATGGCATATTTTTGGTGTTTTTTATGGGGAGTTTTCTGTTTGTTTTTTATTCATTTTGATGTTTATTTGTTTGTTTTTAAACAACTGGTGCATATGGAATGAGATAATGCTAGTGTTGAGAAGGCTTTAAAATTCAACTGTGTATCAGTAAACTGTGAAATTGTCCGGCTCTGTACAGACTGCAAAAACACACTGTGTACAGCAATATAGTGAAATTATTGTTAATCCACCTTTGATTAGAAGTCATAGGCTTGTGACTGTTTCTGAAGAGGTATCTTTTTATATCTGCAAATGTTATGAGGATTTTGAGTAACAGTTCCATCTCAGGAACATATGGATATTGCCTATTTTTGTGGAAGATATTGATAATACTGTGCCTGTTGCTTCTGCATGTGCATAATGGTGTTCAACTTCCATCTATCTCTGTGACAGAAATTGTGGGCATCTACAGAATTTGATTTGTTGACTTTATAATACATCCACAGCAGGCAGAATGATTTTCAAAAAAAAAATTAAAAAAAAAAAAAAAGCTAAATGTTATAAACGAGGTCTCAACTCAATCTGAATTTTGTAATATTTATAAAACAAATATTTCTAAAAGGTATAAAAGGCAAGTAAACAGCGCTGGGTGTGCGGGGAGTCTATGCTCCACCAACACGCACACACTAACATCAAACATTATAAATATACAGAACATTGCTTTACATACTAAACACAAGTATGCCTATACATACGTACAATCAGGAAAGGTAACAAACAATCCTCTAAGTTTCATGACTTACTAAACTCGAGTACACCTATACATATGCGATTCAGTGATTCAAAGATCGAAGCCGAAATTCCTTTAAGTAGTATATTCTTTACTGCAGCACTGGATGCACGGGGGATCTCTCCACCTATCGTGCATACCCAAAGCAGAAAGCAGTCTTGAATTTATACAATCAAACAATATTCTACAAGCGCCTATACATATTCATCACCTATCCCTGCCTTCCCTCGCTTTTCATGCTAATTAGCCTTTTGGCACCTTGCGCCTGCATAGAGCCTCCCAAGAATTGTGGGCAGGGGTCTTTGGGAGGAAGACCCCGAGTCTTCCTCACAGTGTACTTTTCACCTTTGGCCAGGAATCTGCTGAGTTGGCAGGTTTCTTAATTGCAAGAGCTGGTTGTTGCTAATTCTTCCGTTTGTTGTATCTTTATAATGAATTCCATTGTCCAGTTTCGAGATTTATAGTCCTTACATTTGTTTCTCCGTCCGTCTGCCGCTTCCTTATCATGAGTTCCAGTGTCTTGTTTTGAGATATACAGTCCTTGTCTGGGGATTGTCCTTGCCTCCCCAATGCCTCCTTAATCATCAGAAAAGGTAAGAAACAATCCTCCAAGTTCCATGACTTGACAGTCTCCATTTTCCACTCCTTTTCTTGATTACATACAAGTCTCCATTTTCCATTCCCTTTGAACAATATGTCTTGCTTTAAGTTGTCAAGCAACTCGGTCTTCAGGCCTTATGTATCCCGTTCTTCCCGGATCGAAGAAAAGCATATCCATCTCCTTTTCAAGGCCAATTGGGCCTGGGTCAAAAGGCACGTCCAGGTCAGCAGGGGGCATAACAGCAAAAGCCTTCAATGGCAGTAGCTGTGGGGGGCCCATGGCGTAGCAGTCGGATCAGTAAAGGAGCCCGCAGCTCCCTCACTGTCTGGCAAACCACACGTTTCTGACTGCAGTCCCACAGGGCTCTTTAAGGCCTCAGAGACTGCTCACCAGGTGTCGAGCAGTCCCACTGCAACCTTGCCATTTTTAGTTGCAGAGTCCCACACCTTGACCTCAGTTTGGTTTCATATTTCAGGCTCATAATCTGTCCAATTGTTAATAAGGAGAATAAGCTGTAAGGTTACCAGGACAGTCTTTGTTCCTAAGGACGTATGATTCCCCATAATGCGCAACTGCTTACCAGTGAGAGGCAGTTGTGTGCGCAGGTCTGCTTCTCTCAGCTCGAGCTTCTCTCCAGCTCCAGTGCACCTATTTCCAGTGACTTTCTGTACAAGCTTCTCTGAGTGGTTTGCTGAGTTTGGCTGGACCTATCTTCATGAGGCAATCAAAGTGCCTGTTCCCATCCTGGTCTCCATTCTGCCAGCCTGTTCCTCTTCACTTCTTTTTCCTGCTTCTTTATTGATGTAACTTCATCGTGCTGCCTTTTTTTTTTTTTTTTTTTTTTTTATCTTGAAGGCAGGCTCCCCTCTTATACCCTTCTCTCCACAGCAGTTCTTTTCAAAACAACTTTTCATTGGTCAAACAACTTTGAATGTAACAACAACAGCAAACACCCAGAAACTTCCATGCCTTAACGGCTGGAGAACAAGAGACCAGCTGGAGAACAAGAAACCCTGAGACTGCATGGAGTCTCCTGAATCACCCTTCTTCGTTCCCTCAAAACTCTCTTATATTCCTGATGGCCTCGTTGTTTAGAGTCTAATATAGAGTCTCGACTCAAATTACCAGTCCATATATAACAAACACTTTCTGAACACAAGCAACTATTTTAGTTGGCAAATTTGATGCTTTCGCTGCCTAGGACATACTTTAGGCTTTTTCATGCTTATGCCAAACGGTGCTGCTTTGTTGCATTAGGACCAGAAGTCCTGGATTGATACTTTGCAGTTCTATACAAGCCAACTCTCAGGACCCATGGATTTATCTCATCAGGTCCTGTGAGCTTTCAGGTTCCTTATATGATCTCAAACCTGATCATCTCCTACAGTGAGCGGTTAATCTTTCTCCCAGTCCCTGCCTTTGCCTTCTGGGGCCCAGGCTATGTGGCTGGATCTCTTGCTAGTGAAGACTGAGGCAGAAGAGTCATTGAGTACCTCAGCCTTTTCCATACCCCAGGTAACCAAGTCTCCCATTTCCTTATGGAGAGGGCCTACAATTTCCCTAGTCTATTTCCCTAGTCTTTTATGGCTAGATTCTTGAGTATGAAAGGTTCGTGTCAATTAAATTTGAGTTATTTGTTAGTCCTCATTTCACTGTTAGCAAATGACATGTTAGCTGCACCTACCAGTTCAGGTTTCTAGATAACTCATCTCAGCTTTATATAGCATGCTATTATCTACAGATACCTTTTTTTATATTATACAGAGTCTAAAACTAAGTTCTCTAGTTGATATGGCAAAGTCAGTTTGCCTGCAGTTTTTATACAGGATTTATCTCACTTTAGCTCTTTCTTCTCTCTTATTCCTGGTTTTCAGTCCATTTTTAATTATTTGAACTATTCAGTAATTGTAGAGGTAGAAAGACAATCCTTAAAAAAATCCTTAAAATCAATCCTTAATTTTTCATCATCATGTAAAAGCAGAGCTGCTGAACAGGTGTTTTAAACTCTCTAGAATTTCTGATTGTAATAATCCAAATCATTAGGCCTAAATGACCTTTCTTACATGCATATCTCTGTATCTGGGCTCTTGCTTACCCACATAGTTCTCATCACACATAGCAAAATAATGGAACATTGGGAAACATAGCTCTGAAAACAGATAAATTCTGCCTCTTCACCATAGCAAACGGAAACTTTTAGATATCTAGCACAGAGACAATTTGTTTGCCTATCTCTGTGCAAAGAAGTTCACGATTTCTGGCTTCTTTTGGAGAATCCAGTTTAGAAACTCTTCTGATCCAAACTAGCAATGTTAGCTTTATATAGCCGTTGGTACAAATGATGCCTCTCTAATTCTTTTTTTCCTTTTTTTTTTTTTCCAGCTTGCAATGAAGCACAAATGCTGAGATACTGCCCAATGCTGAAATCTTCCTGAGAGAAACTGAAAAGTCTAGATTCAGCAGTTTTTACAGGAGATTAAGACTTGTGTGCTTTTTTCCTTCCAGTTCAGTGGAAATGCATCCTTTCAATTTCTGTGCAGGAAAAAATGTTGCATTTCTACCTTTTTGACTTACATTTTGTTCCTTTTTTTGTGATACTGCTACACAGTCCAGCAGTACTTTGTACCTGTATTTCTGTTGTTACAGGAGCCTAAAGCAAATGGGAACTGGACCAAATGACAAGCTGATCAGGATTAAAATAATAATATTCTTCCCCAATGCTCCTTCCTGATACTGTATGATACTTTTTCCTGATATTGTATAGCAAAGTTGTTAACTGGGTGTTGACGTTTGTGTGGAAATAAAATCCAAAGAAGGGATACACTTTCCTTCATTTTATGTAGCATCAGCAGAATTTGAATGTTGGAGTTGATCACCTGAGGTTGTAACTATGGTGGAGATTACTGCTTTTTCCTGGGAAACACTCTTACCCTACCCAGTGTAGGAAGTTTTGCATGTGCCATCACCAGCATTCAGAAATGCATATTTGAATTTCATAGGGGAATCATTTGAAGGCGTTTGAATATTTCTATTTTACCTTCCAGATGGATTATTTGAGCAGTAGAGTGAAACATAAAGAATGTATGCTTGAAGTTTCAACACTGAGAAAGGAAGTAAATTATGCGTTTAAACACACATAGCTGTGCCTCAAACAGTCGAGTATTTAGCAATCTGCTGTAAAATAACATTTCATTTTCTTTATACCTATGATTCTCTGGCCTAAAGGCCTACATAATTGAGAATTCATTTTCCACATCATATTTTTCATAATCTTTAATAAAGTAAGAATTTTTGGGAACACTCCTGAGAAATTTGGTTAGAATGACTTTTGTCTTTAGTTAATCATCTGATTTTTAAAATGGAGGCTTTGAAAAAGCGTATCTCAGTATATTAGAATCGTACCTTCTAGTTTGTTTAATTTTTCAACATTTACATTATCACTGGAAGAGTGACTCCATACATCATATTATATGCACTGTATGTAATATATGGCCTGTAATCTTTTACAAAGATAAGCAGGTTACTCTTTTTTCTTTTTTACTTCACAGATGATTTTGTAACATTTTTAAAACATTCTAATATGCTTTAAAATTAAAAAACAAAACAAAAAAACCTGCTTTGTTTGTTTGTTTTACACCATTAAGGAAGAAATAGAAATCCTAGCAGAAGTTTCAGCCTTCATCTTCCAGAGATGCAGCTCTTTAAAAGCAATGCACGTCAGAATCTTCTGTCCTCATCTTACCAGAGATCCAGAAAGCTGTCATTAAATGAATGTACTGTAGTTTTCATTTTCAATGTAGAATTAGATATTTGCATTATTAATGACACTTTAAACAGTCTAAAGTCCTCAGAGCAGTGCTTGAAAGAAAGATAAAAGCTGCTGTAGTCATTGAGAATATTTTGGTTACTGTAAGCTGAAGCAACTTAAATTCTGTCTTGGAAACACTCATCATTAAAAGATGTTTGGCTTAGGGAAACATTCTTATATGAACTTAGAGACATCACATTGTTAAAACTGATTGCATTCAAACTTTACGTCTACTTTTTCATATATTTTAAACTGTTTTATATGAAGCTTGTTATTTAACATCACAGTGGGAATTGACAGAAGGCGTAAATTTGTCATCTGTGTAGTACCATACGATCATTTAGACAGATTTAGCATCAGCTCTAACAGTTACCACATCGTGCACTGTCAATTGAAAAGGAGTTTGGCCAGCTCTGTGTTACAAGTCAGAACAGGCTCATTAACAACATGAGCTCTGCACACTCAGTCAAGTTACTTACAATTAATGCTTGCCCTGGAAATGTCAGTAGCTTTCTGAGTGCCATTGTAATGACTATGGATATTTCTGCAAATCAATCAGGAAAACAGTCCCTCATTGGAAATTAAATTTCTACTAGAGACAAAATGTTAGACTAATTTTTAAAAATAGCTGCATTAGAATTCAGTCTGGGAGTACATATTTGACCACATAGGTTCTGTCAACTTCTTTTCCACTCTTTTTTTTTTTTAAACTTTATCCTGCTGCTAACTTCCAAGTCCGTCTCCTGAGAGAAGGAAGGAATAGATTTTGAACTGCTGCCATCTAGCTGGCCTTCTGAGCTTGTCAATAATTCAGAAGACACGTTGAAACCCCAGATCAGATAAACCTGAAAAGAATTACTTGTCTAAACTGAGATAAAAAGGCATAGGTTTTCAGGTGTTTACATGAGTATCAGCTGAACAGGTCAAGGTCACAGCTGCACTGCTAAGTTCTAGGTCATTTGTGAGCTGAACTGTTCTAAGGCATTGCTTTAATCTTAATGATAGTTTTTCAGGATTTTTTTTTATATATCCTCCAGTAAAATGTATTGTGTTATGTATCATAACTCAGGTCTTTTATCTCACCATCAAAAGCCATTTACTGTGGGAATTCTGAGTAACCTAGTGTTATTGAATGAAGGAAAAGGGGGTTATTTGTGTGTTCACTTTGTTCTTGATATTCATTAAACTACTATATTTGGTAGTTTTTAGAAGAAAAAAATTAGAGGTGTATAAATGTCTATCCGAAGGTAAATCTTAGAGCACTGCAATTTCCTTCTGGAACTTAGCTTGTAGTGTATTAAAATATAGTATTAGATAGTCATGTATATAACATATACTATGATTCAGGTTAATGTTTCATATGAAAGAATGTATTTGTAAATTGTAACAACATCAATAGTTTCTTTATCCTTTTAAAGTTCTGCAAAGAATAAAAATAATGCATTGTTAGACTTGAAACTACTGTACTGCAAACTCTGTCTTAAAAGGCTACTTTTGTGTCTAGCAAAAGTTGTGCATTATGTGAAATATTAACCAAAATGTGCTCTCTAAAAAGTGATCTTAAAGGTTTTGCTATGATATGGCAGAATTGTAATACTTGCTGGTATCTATTGTAACCAATTCCTCAAGAAGTTCTCAGAGATGTAGAAATTTTGTGCCATTATGGGTAAAAAAATAAATAAGAATGGGACCTGCTCTCTAGGGTAATTACTGGACACCATAGTTTTGTCATTAAATACTTTAACTGTGATCAAAAGAAAGCTGTCCTTGGATTTTTTCTATATGTCTATTAGAATTTGTTCATTCAAAATACAAATTATTTTAAAAAACATCTTTCTCTTTCACTCTAGGAGAATAACAGAACTGAACAAAAAATTAGTTTCCACTAAGATGAAAGGTTTCGGGGGGGGGGGGGGGGAGTAATGGGAACTAGGTAGAATGATTTCATGTCCAAGGAGATTCCAGACCATACTTAACACAAGCAAGAATCCAACGTAAAAGCAGGTTGAAAAGAATTCCGTGTTAAATTTTATTTCAATTTTCTATAAAATGCTTATTGATAAATTGTTGTTTTCTTTTGCTCATCTACTTTTACTGATATTTTTTTAATCAAAATAAAAGCAATTCTGATTGTCCAGTGGGAATCAAGCTATAAAGGCTGTGTTCTTAAACTTCTATAAACACAGAGAAGCAATCCATATATTAAAATGAGGGCTGCCTGTAGATTTACATCAAGTATGAACTGATTCTGATGCCATCTGTTTGTTTTTTTTTTTTTTTCCAGGCTTTTACAAGGTCAGTACTATTTCAGCTACTAAGAGAAATTTGCTAGAACGCTTGTCAAAAGTCTGATGTTGAACACAGTATGTGCTCAGTGCCCAAACTGCTTGAAACTTTTACTAAAAAGAAATAGATCTCTGGTGGATTGGAACAGAAATTGGTCAGAAGAGCATTTTATTATAATTAACAAATCATAATTTGGCCAATCTAAAGAAGTTCTTTTCTATACAGTGGTGAGCAGATCAGTAAGATGTAACCAGTATTCACTAAGGATGTCTCAGGTTAAGAAATTGCTTTAATTTTTTTTTCAAAACTAATCACATGAAAGTGGTCAACTACCAGTGGGCTAAGGACATGGACTTACCTAAAAATTGTTTTTTTCCAGTAATTCTAAAACTGAGCAACCAGTTCATAGCTCATAACCCCAGCTTGTTTTGTGCGTCATATGAAGCACTGAATGATATGTTTCAACTCTTTTTTTTTTCTTTTTTTTTCCTGAGTGTTTCTTTTTATTTGCTGTTATCTCATAAAATCTGCATTGTCACAATGACTGGGTAACTCCAGACTGAGTGTAAGCATACTGTTTCATGTATCTTGATTCATCATCTATGTTAGGCCTAAGTATTCTGGGTATAAAAGTAAACTTGTTAGCTAGGGAAATTGTATGGCTTTAGAAACATAGAAGATAGACATCTAACAAAATTCCAAATGATGTTTTAAGTCCTTTCACAGCTCTCTGATGGTAGCTAAAATGATAGTTGCTTTTGCAGGGGAAATGACGTTCTAGCCCGTATTGTGTTGGAGTTTCGTTGCTGCTAAAGATGTGAGGACAAAGTTTTGTTTGATCATAAGTGTTCTCGTCTGAATAGAACAGAAAGGAAATCTGGATAAAAAAAAAAAAAAAAAAAACAAAAAACATTTTGGCAATGTTTCATAATATATCAAAATGAAAATCTTTGTATGGAACTAAAATTAATTAACAAGCTGGTTTCCAGTCAAATCAATGAGTCAGGTTTTTTTTTCTCTCTCCCCAACCCCATCGCATTTCAGAAAGGTACAAGAAAGCTTTCTTTGCATAATAAAATTATAGCATGATCAGAAAAGAAGGATTTCTACAAAAAAGCATTTGAGGGAAGTATTAAGATTTTAATGAGAATCATCTTTCTTTCCAAAATGTTTACCATTTTTATTAAACATGGCATCTATTAACATTTACAACAGCTGTGAGATCCTTTATGTAGCTATGGTTGGCCCTCTGATAAAAAGCATTTGGCTTTAATAATAAATTGCTACATTCAGTTGTTTGAGCCTTGTAAGAGAGTTTAGCTCAGTCTGAAGCATTCCGATATTGCTTTTTAGGGATAAAGTATGAGTACTATTCATACTGCGAATCAAGAGCAGCTAAATTCTGAGGTGAGAGTGGACAAGATGAGGAGCATCTTGAGCAAGTCAGAAGAGGTTATAAAGTAACTGCCAAGTGAACTCTGTGAGCTCAAGTGAGCCAAGCAGCTCCAAGGAAAAAGAACAGCAGTGGTGGAGAGCTTGCCATTAGTGTTTTCTCACAAGTCGGCAGAGAACCATCTGTGCTTTTAGCAGCCAGTTCTAGCAAAATTCTTTCAGGATGTTCCCAAGTAGTCTTTGCACCTATGTATTGAGAAATGAGTGCCATGGGTTTTTATCTCATCTGTTCGTTTCTGTTGCTTTTCCACGTGCAGTCCTTCAGCATTTCCGACAAGCTGAAAACAGGTCTGTTAAGTCAGAGCACTCAAACAGGATGACAGGTACTATTCTTCATGGAGAACATGAACAGTCGTAGAGCTGCCAGTGTCTGGCTGAAATAATAGCTGTACATACAGGATCATTTGTAAGACAGATGGCTGAGAAAGGTACCATTTATCTGCCAGGCAAGGTTTCATAACCCTTAGCATCCATTCATGAGGGAAGCATCATTAACAGCTAGATGTTGCCAATTACCTCATCTTAGTGTTAAAATCCTTTCTTCTGAAGTCTCTATTCAATCTCCGCAACCACACTGAAAGAGGAAAAGGAGGTGGGGCGAGGTAGGGTATGTTTTCATGTTCATTGACATGGTAATGCTTCACAGAACGCACTCCTCTGTCTTTACATGTAAACAGTCTTTGAACAGTCTTTCCATATTCAGTAACATATTTCTCTCTTACTGGCACACTTGCAACTCCCTCATCCTAAGAGGTGGCTCCATGGCTTGCCTCTCATTTTTTTAAGACCATTTTGAAGCATGATCTTTAGCCCTTGCCTGCCCTTTGGTGTTTAACAGCTCTTGTGTTATTTATTGACTGCAGTTTGTTACTGTTTGTAGATGAAGACGGAGACGTGTATTGCACATAAAATGAGAACTCTCTATAAGGGCAAAGTTGTAGTGAAAGATTGAGGAGGACAAGATTTGTTAAATGTCAGATGTACATAGTGCTAGGCTAGTTGTGCTCTTCCTTAGTCTTACTAAAGGTTTTTTCCAAAGTCTGGGCAGAGGCTGTAATAATACAACATATTTATCTTCAATGTAACATTTTTCACCCTTCTGTAACAATTCAAAGAGAAATATCATCTTTATTTTTTTTTATATTTTTATTATTATAAACTAAGGTTGGCAAGTAAGTAATTTAAAATAAAATAATGGTCAGGATAATATAATAATAGGGACCCGAGAATATAAAAACCAGAACCTGCATCAGAAATAACAGCAGGCTTCTGGAAAAGACTTTTTTTTTTTTTTTTTTTTTTTCTCCTGCTCCAGCAATATATCTTTCATAGTATGCACTCTGCAAAGCCTGTGAAGCATGACCAGTTGTTGCATTTTTTTTTTTTTTTCTGGAGAGAGACCCAGGGGTCGCAACACTAGGGAAGGCTGGGCAAAGAAGGCAGTAAAACTGCATCACTTCTCTACTTGGATTTTACAAGCACCACAAGAACTGCTCAAGCAGTTCTCTGACAGTTGCTGGTTTAGTGTAAGGGACAAAAGCGTCTGTGTCAGAGGCACACAGACTGCATTGTCGGTATCAACTTGCATTAAATATTGCCCTTTTGAAGCACACTGAACCCTCCCTCCTAAATGGACAATATAATTCAAGGAAAAGAAGCCAAATCCTAATAAATATTTAAAATATTCATATTCTGCAATACTGTAGTGGTATGTGCCATAGCAATTCATATTGCAAACAGTATTTCAGGAAGACAAATTTAAGTTGTTTTCTTAACTCAGATGAATAAATTTTAAAAGCTGTTTAAATTCTTTCCTGTCCCTACTTCTGGAATTGAGAAATAAGGCATTGGGATTGAGAATTGAAGTGAAAGACACTGTGCTATGAAAGCACAACATAGAATAGGATGAAAAGTACTTTTAAAAACAAGACTTAACCACTACCTGTGTGTTAATGATGCCCGATAGGGCAGACATGCAGTGAACACAGGAGGCATAGACAGCAAAATATTATGGAAAACAAATTAGGATAGACTGTAACACCTGGCTCTCAAAGGGCTGCAGAACTCTATATCTGAGGGAAGAAGTGACAGTCTGTGAACAGGATGTGATTTATGGTTGTCAAGATAGAAATAAGGCAATCATGTACCATTAAATTTCCTAAGATCTTGCAGAAATACTTACAAATAGAAAAGTGGGTAATGCTTATCTTATTATAATAGCTTAGCTGTCTCTAATGAACAGGGCAGGGCTTCATTTTAAGTTATACTCATAACAACATTAACTGGACCATTTTCAATTTACATGCACTAAACTGTTGGTACGTTTTCCATTTCTAATCAAATGCTAACATAACATTTACCTTTCATTTGGGTTAAATGTCTTAATTTTCATTCTAACTGGTCAAAAATATTATCCCTTCCATACAAAAATATCTTTGCAGTGTTGATAGTTTATTATTTCACCAGCTCTGCTGTTTCCTTGTCCTGTAGTGAGATTACATGAAAATTTTCAGTATCTCCTGTCTTCAGAGTTCTTTGGTTCTGAGATTCATAAAAATGTTACTTCTTGAATGACACAAAGCTCTTACTTCTTTTTTGTTAATTTACAACAGTTTTTATATGAGTGCATGGTGGGTTTAGTGACTGTTAGCTCATGTATTTCTCCGATGATTTATCAAACCAGAGTAGTGTTGCCAAGTTCCAATCAAATTCTTTATAATGATAAATAAATATAATTTTTTGTTTTGCTAAAAATTGAGTTTTAAACCATTCTTTCACCATTCCAAGGACTGTAAAGCAGCAGACTGGCATTATGCCAGGTAGGCAGTAATTCCACAAGTCAGATTGCAAGTGCATCAGGGAATTCTAGAAATCTCTCCAAGTAAAATACCTTCAGGATTTTTGTTGCTAAGAAAGTCAATGTGAAACAATGATGGAAAGGCTTTGGGAATGGTAGTAATAAGGTATTTTATTTTTTAAAATTGAAAGGAATAAAGAGAATGACTGGTTGGAATCCCA